ACTCTGGCCTCAGGTCTCTCCTTAGGTCCTCTGAACTTTATGTTTCCTCTACTTAAAATGCTTTCTCTCCAAATCTCTTTAAGATTAGCTTCTAATTATCTTCCAGATCCCAGGGCTGTATGAGAGGCTTTGTCTGATATCAAACCTTAGATGCTCAGTCACTTTTTATCAACATAATCTTTCCAAATTTTCTTTGCAATTCTGTTTCTTTTGATTGTTTTTCCAATTGATCAATTATGAGTCTACTCCTAGTGGAAAGTAAATCCCAACAGAGTGAGGAAGGTATCTGTCTCTTTCATTGGTCTTTCCCTAGCGCAGGTGTGGGGAACTTTTTCATGTTGGAAGACTGCATTAATAGAGCTGTAATCAAACATATATATCTGTACTCAAATAAGGCCACATTCAAGAAACTTCAATTAGATACACTGAAAAGTGTACATTATTTTGTAAAAACTTAACTACTGTGTACTTAATAATTTCAAAAAATGAAAAACATTTGTTAATTTTAAAGTTAACCTTTTAATGACTTTGCTCTGTCTGCTTTTTGTTGGAAAGCATTTGAATATTTGGCTGCAGTATGGAGGTCCGCAGTTTCAGTTGATTCTCTAGACGGGTATCAGTCATTTGTGACCTCACTGTGTCTTGATTTGGGTTAGCTAGGAGAATGTAGATCCACAACGAAGGCAGGGGTATTCTACTAAATTTTTCTATATTTCAACTGGATCTTTCTTAGCATCAAACAATGACTTTACAATGTCATCTACTGAGAGCTCCATCAATTCCGTCTGCAGTTCTTTAGGAACCTGGGCAATATGAACTAGGTGAGGCTGAAATGCTAATTTGAGTGAGACATTATGATTCTCAAAGTCAGTGAACCTTTCATTGTATTCTCCAATTAATAGGTCTGCAATAGCTGTGTATTCTTCAAGTGATTCACATATATTATTCTGCTCATCAATGACCTTTGCTAGTTAGGGAAAATGTTCATCTGAAATTTCCTTTTGAAGAAGTGGTGTTTTGAAAAGAGATAGCTTTTTTTCCCCCCAAATGATTGGATGGATTTTTTGCCACATATCATATATAGACTTAGTTTTACCTTGCAAAGGAATATTTAAGTTGTTTTGATTTGACATGATATCACATAGAAATGCTGCAATCCTATAGAAATCTTCTTTCAATAATTCACATTGCTGATTCTGTTCTTCACAATATTTAACTACCTGTTCTCACAGAGGTAAAATTTTGGCTAACACCTGTCTCTGTGATAGCCAACATACTTTAGAATGATATGGCAAATCTACACTGAATATCTCATTGCTCAACTTTAGCATGTTATGAAAGTGACAATGTCATATTGCATTTGCACAAATATAGTTATAATACTTATAATTTGTTGCAAAGTGTCACTTAAAATAGTAGCTTTAGCACAGAGATTTTGCTGATGCAAGATACAACAAAAAGAAAGGAGAACATCTGGATCGGATCTGTTAATACTTTTTAAAAATCTGTGTAATAAACCCTTCATGTTTTCCTATCATGGAAGGTGTACTGTCTGTACACACACTCATTAAATTTACCAAATTCAGTCCAACTTCATGACATTTATCTTTAAAGTTGTTGAAGGTATCTTATTCCCCATGTTCTGTTTGCAAGAATGCCCAAGGTGAGTAACTCCTCCTAGCAAAGAACACCTTCTATTATTATCCAAATGAAGTATAAAACCTATACCAAGTCAGTAGTGTCAGTTGATTCACCCCATGTGATTGAATAATATATATTTTCCTTTTCAAGTATTGCATGAAGTTGTTCTCTTAAGTTGAAAGCTGATTCATGTGCTGATCAGTTATGGTTCTCTTTGTAAGAGGCAGTTATTCGTACTTTGAAACATTATCAGGGTCTAAGCATCCTACAACTTTGACAATGATTTCTTTCACAATTTCTACATCACTGAATGGCTTCCCTTTTATCTTGAGTATATAAGCTACTTTACTAGCTGCTTTGTTGGCATTACTTCTGGGTCTTATTGCTGCTTGAAAGAACTGTCTTTGCTTTTGCTTTTTGTCTTTTAATTTCTGCAATACAACCTTTCACATCTCTCCCTCTAATTTAAAGTATCTGTGGTCCTTATGAGGGTTATAATGAAGATGATCATTAAATTTATTTAATGTTGATATTGCAGTATCACAAAGCAAGCAAATCATCTTATCTTTAGCAGAAACAAGATAATATTGCAATTCCCAATCCTCATTTAAAAAATCTGTTTTTTTCTTTCAGCATTTTCTTGGTCTTCTTTGACATGATGGGCTATTAAACAGACAGAATTTAAAAATACTGTCGAGCTGTGCAACTATTCACAAACTGCACTTCAAGCAGCAATACAGTACACTGCTGTCAAAAGCTGGTAACAGACTGGTGTATTAATCCCCACAGACTCTTGCCAACTTGTAGTGGTGCCAGTCAGGCAGGGAAAGTTAGAACTAAGTCATGAGCATAGTAGCCTCAATTTAGCCCTTATGGCTTGCTAATTGTACCAGTCAATCTGGGAGGATTGTTTTTTTGAAACTTATTTTATTCTTCAGTATTTTAAATAGGTTCATTTTAAAAATAGAATAAAATATGAAAGGCAAACTAAAATGTATTAATAAAAACAAAAGGATTTGTTCTGTAAAATTTGGATTCAGTCAAAATGACACACTTAAGGATCTAGAAAGCCACATGTGGCCCCCTCACCCCACAAGAGCTAATAATATAGTTTATATTTTAGTTTCAAAGCCTAAGAACCAGGAAAGCTGATCATATAAATTCCAGTCCCAGAGCTGGCAAGCTCAGGACCGAAGAAGAGCTGATGTTTCAGTTCAAGTTTAAAGGCAGGACAATACTGATTCTAGTTCAAGTAGTCAGGCCACAGGAGTTCCATCTTACTTACAGGAAATTCAACTTTTTGACCTATTCAGGCCTTCAACTGATTGGATGGAAGCCACCCACATTGGGAAGGGGAATATGCTTTACTCAGTGTACTGATTCAAATGTTAATTTCATCCAAAAGCACCCTCACAGACATACCCCAAAATAACGTTTGACCAAATATATGAGTACCCTTGGCTCAGTCAAATTGACACATAAAATTACCTCTCACACACAGTCTCTTATCTTCCACCAGTGTCTCTCACTGCGCTGATACATACCCAATATCTGCTGCTCTCCCTACATATAACCCACTGACCAGATTGAAAAAAATTCCAGTATACCTGGGCAAGAGTATCAGAGATGACCACAGCGTTCATTGCATGTAAAAATGATTCACATAGGCTATGTTGAGTAAACTAAGAACAAACTGCTTTACTAAGTAACACTCTTTTCTGAAAGCTATTATTGACAGTAATAACAAAAATACTAATAATAGTTTATATTTATTAGGTTAAGTCATATTCTGAGCAAATTTAATTTGGGGTGCTGATTTTAGAAGTTAAACTATGTATAGAAGACTCCATTTCTTTGATTACTCTAACAACAAACAAATCTCTTAATGTGTATTGAGGATAAAGAGTGACAAAGACTCTCTCCTTGCTGAAATTTTAGTTAGGTTACTCTGAGTCCTTTTCTTGAGTAGGCCTAGACTTTGGCCTCCATTTTGACAGGTCTGTATAGCCTAGTTTTAGCAAGAATTTTACAAAGTTTGTTTAGAGAGAATCTCTCATTCTTGATATCTGATCCCCCTCAATATCAGACCAATTTCCCTATCCCCCACTTTTGATGTATCAGTCCTTGATCTGCCTTCAGTAAGAATCTTGTCAAGTTGGTTCAGCAATAATTCTCCTACCCTTGATGTTTCCCCCTAGTAGTTCTTATCCTGTCACTCTGCTTATTGGCTACAAATCCCCAGCTTTCTATTCTGTATTCTGAATTGAGCCGGATCTCTCTTCCCTATTGTAATAGTCTTGATACCTATTACAATAGTCCTGAATTAAAGTCTCAATGTTTTCTTAAGTGTCAGAATAATTTTTTCTTTAACAAAATTATGATAAATAAATGGAACAACACTGTGGAGACAGGCAAGATCATCTGGAAATTCTCTGTTCACCAGGGGTTGATTGTTATCTACAAAGTTGAATAGTTTGCATGCCAAGACATCTGTATATAGGCTCTCCTTTTGTTAATTCTTCTGGTTTCAATAAAAATCTCTCAAACTTTAGTCTACTTATTTACTCAACACAAAGCCAAATGTACTTTGCATTAAAGCTTATTTAAGGATTTTTCAAGAGTAATTCTGATAGTTGATTTTTCTTTTGCCTCTTTATTCCTGAATAAGACCTTATTCTCTGTTGCTTTATATTTTACAATACTCTTTTCAATGAACATTTAACTCTATGTTCAAAGCAACCCTACAAGGAGGGCGTTACTGTCTTCATTTAAGTGTGTGGAAACTGAGCAAAATGCAGGCTGTCTATCCAGTTTCAGGTGAGAATATGGAAATTTTTCAAAGTCTATATATGGTAGACTTTATTTTCCCTAAAAACAACTAAAAACAATGCCTCTCTCCATATCAAGACTTTTAGTAGTTATTTCCTAAATTGACTCTGCTTGACCATGTGACTTGCTTTGGCCTATGAGACAGTAGCAAATGATTCATAAACAGCATCAAGAAGAGTGCTTGTATATTTGGCTTGCTCTCTTGCTATTCTTAGACTTCCATGTGAATAAGCCCGCTGGAGGACCACAAACATGTGGCCCAATCACTTCTGTCACCTATCCAACAACCAGTCAACACCCGGAAGCATGGATGATAAGCAGCTTTTCCTAAATGCTTGGCTCCTGCCAAGATCAGAAGAACCATCCACCTGATGTTAGCTCACATTTCAAACCCACATAATCATGAGTTAAATAAATGTTTGCCACTTAGTTTGAGGTAGTTGATATTTTACCAAAGGCTAACAGACACATGTGAAAAAGTGATGTCAAGGTGGTTGATCTTGAGGGAAAGAGCTTAGCACAGCACAAACTTACTTTGACTGTTGGTAAGAATATGCAGGTGCGTGTTCGTTGGATGTGTCCACTGCTATCTGTTGCTGCTGACCACTGGTGTCCTGGGATGAAGGTGCCACTGTCTGGGGAGAGGTATCAGTAACAACACCCTAAGGAGGCAAATAAAAACACAAAAGCCTTACTTGTTTAAGCAAAGGGCCCTCTTCCAGGTGGGCTGTAAATACCCCTCTTCTATTTGGCCTGAGTAGAGATGTTCTCAGCTACATGAAGCCACAATAAGTACTTAAAGGACAACCACAGAGAATATAGATAAGGGCTAAGAATTTGTTCCTAATTTGACACCAAGAAGCCTTGCTGTCAGAAATCCTTAGAGTAGTCAAGTGTCAGAAACCATTTTGCTCACACTCAGAACTTTTAAACCATAGTTGCATACAGCCACGCTAAATAACAATTTATTAATCAAACACTCATTCAGGATTCCTATAAAGCACTTTCTGGGGTAGTTCACTGTACTATGTCTATATCATTTGGCAAAACAATAGACTCCGGCCTTAATAAAAGTCCACATCAAAGTTTGGAAATCTTTTAAAAGGATGCTGCTGTGTAGGTTTTCCCTTCAGCAATTTGATTTGTTTTATTTTGTTTTGTTTTCCAGGACATGAACTGGAATTAATTTAGAAGTTTCAGAAAACAAAAAAACAACTGGTTCTTAATTTTGGTTCACTCTTCCTTTACCTTTTCTCTTTCTTGTTTCTCACAAATGCCAGCAAGAATGAACTGCTAGAATTGGCCATGATTGGGGACATATGCTTGGTTCCAAGAGAGGCATAGGTGGCTTTCCTTGGCCATTAGTAGGATCAAGGAGGGCACTGACCTGAATGCAATCTCCTGGTTTTACTTATGGTTTTGGATACCTGCCATGACATCTGGTTTCAAATGTTTCAAATGTTCACTTGTCTGTCACTGACTAAAGTTCCCTAAATTTCTTTTGTAGAATCTGGACATTCTCCCTATTCTAATCCATTCTTTTCTTTCCTAATGTACATTTTCTAAACCTCCCACCAGCATTTACTTCGGTAGATACTGTTGGATGAAGATTCAATGAGTGTTTTTCCATAAAAAATGAATTAGTGCTATTCTTTATAAATACAAATTCAAGCCAGTATATCAGAGTATACTTATATTTTTCTCAGTAAAAGACGGTTTTTAATCCTCAAATTGAACTATAACTAGAATTTTTCCAATAAGCTACACTGTCAAATGTGTCTCATAGTCATCAAAATGCTCAAAGCTTGTAGATAAGCATATGCCTTTGGTGTAGACACAGGGATATGCAAGTATGTGTCAGAGATTTATACTGAAAGTGCCTAGAATGTCCAGATTTTTAATTTTCTCATGGTATAGGTGCTTTTTGATAGCTAAGTATAGCAAAGAACATGCAACTTAATCACATATTCTTGAAATTCTGAAAAGCCAATTAAAATGTATTTAATATGACATATTTGGGAGGTTTCTATTGGCCTGGAACACATAAAAGATTAAAAAATTGGAACCTCTTTGGTTTCCTAAGTTACATAACAGCATCCTGTTAAACTTCTAGGTTTCCCAAATCTTGATATGAGCAAACATTTGTCACACACCAAAACCAAATAAAGTAACATTTTAAAAGATCCAGTTTAGTCTGTAAAGGTCTCCCTCTTTCTTTGTAGCTCCAGAAGTGGAGAAAGTGTTGGAGAATCTTCGTGTAAAGTGATGCCAACACACTAGCTGCTTGCCAATTACTGGAGTAACAAGGACATCAATTCCAGAGGACTCCCAGCTGATGAGCCAGAATGCACAGTGGCCGTAATACACATGGGCATCAGGTGAAGGGAAGAAAGAGCAATAAAAAATAATTGCTGGAACCAGGGAGAGGCACTCACATCTCAGTGTTTTACCACCATCTGTATGGCTCTGTGCCCTCTCCTTTTCAATGTAGCTTGATGGCTCTGTCCAGTAGAACGATGTACAGAGGGCATAGATTTAGCCCAATGGAAAGAAAGAAGGAAAGGGGCAAAACTTCCACGAAAGACAAGATGACATCATCATTCATCATGTCCACATCATAGTGGTACAACAACTTCTTCCTTGTCTATAGGAAGATGCAAACCTGTCATTCAACTCGTGCAGTGGCTTTTAATTTTTGGTACAGATTAGAATCACTTGAGATCTTTTAAAAATCCTGATGTCCAGTCCATCCTATAGACAAATCCATGATCAGAATTTTTAAAGAGGATAAGACTCAAGAATCAATACTTTTTGAAAGTTCCTGAAATAATTTCAATGTGCAGAAAAGTTTGAAAACAAGCACACTAGTCCAGTGTCTCTCAAATTTTAATGTGCATCTGGATCACTCAGTGATCATCTTAAACTGCAAATTCAGATCCAGTAGGTCCGGGTGGTGTCTGAGCATCTGCAATTCTAACAAGCTAACGACAATGGCCCAGGAACCACTCTTCCAGTGACAAGGCACTAGAGAAGTAGCTCAACCAAATTGCTGCAAACTTTTTTCCTCCCAATGTATAAGTATTCGTGGTTAACGTTTGATGGGGTAGTGAATTGGTCTCTGCTCTTTTCTCTAAATATGAAAACGACATTCCCCTTATACCTCTGTAGCAGCTTAGCTCATTTCATTTGCCAAAGAAAACAGACATGTTTGAGTGCATACTTTCATATACTGAGCTTATAATTTCAAATTTTAGAGGAGCACACACACACAAAAAAATGAGTATTCCTTGGGTTATGGTGAGACCGCGATGTATGTGACTGAGATTTATTTCCCCTAACCTCTCTCTGTTAGACAGGGGTCGACTTACTTCAATAGAAACAGCTGTCGGAGGCACAGGCGTGTACTGGGGAATGTAGGTCCCTTGCATAGGAGCAGCAGCAGTCATATACTAGAGGGAATCAAAGAAAAATGCACGTGAACTTTGGGTTGCAACCAGAGAGGAAATTAAACACCACATGAGACTGCTTTAGATGTATGGCCCGCAGCCAGTGCATAATTAGTCAAACTCTATTTTAACCAAAAATAAGGCAGTTCCTATCAGCATTGCACAATCTTTGCTTACTCATTCAGTACCAACAACAGCCCCGACTTTACAGTTTCAGTACAATTAATTCACCCCTATTCTCTCATTGGGCCCTTTTTAAATATTCTGTATAAGATCTCAAACAATTTCACATCTCACAACTAAACACAAACTCCTTGAAGGTGAGACGATGATGTCTGTTTTTTTCTCCATTTTATTTCTAGTACCTGTCACATAGTAGGCTCTCAATAAGTATTTGTTGAATGAATGAATGAATCATCATATTAATTGTTAATAATAATTTACTTTCAAATTTTAAAAAGTAGAGAAATAATGTAAGAAATACTTATGTAGCCCATTCATTATTGGTGTCATTTTTATATCACTTTATTTAAAATAAAAGAAGTAGAGTAGGACAGATAATGCTGAAGTCTCTTTTCTTCTTTTCTCCTATTCCATTCTCATGACACTGTTAGTTTTTCCTTTCCAACACCATTAATTTTCCAAAGTTTCCTCATCAGGATGAATAATGAAATAACTAAATTATTTTTGCTAAGTTGTTGTAGTCAATAAAGTATGTATTAAGGGTAACATGTATTTTTGCAATGAAAAAAAAGGGAGCCCCAGTAACGTACATGCTCACCTACTTAAGCATAAATTATGACCCATCTTCCTAACACACACATTCTCTCTGCAAATTCAAAATTTTACTCTCTGAGGATTGAATTTTCTATGGAATAAACTACCTTTCTGGGTTTCTAAACTTGACCAATATCGCAAAACTTCAAAACCTGAATAATCTAATGAAAACAAGCAAGGCTTCTCAATTCATAAAGGTTAGAGGAATGATTTTTAGGAAAAAATCAAAAGCCTCTGATACTTTTTTCTTCCAAATTTACTGAGATAAATACTAAGTTCGTATATAAATATAGAAAACCTAAATTACTTTGTTTTGTGCATCTTAGTACTTTCAGTATCCAAGAGGCATGGCGATTGTGATTCAAGAGAAATGTCTTAATAGAGACTAGCCCACTGGTGGTGGTTGTTGTTTATAATTATTCATGCTCATAGATAATTATAGTAATAAATCAACTTTGGAATAAATGAATCTTCACCCTAAGCACTATTCTACTCTATTTATTTGCTAAAAATAGAAAGAGTCTTAATAAAACAACCCTAAATCAAACAAACCAAACTGTTGTCTGCAATACATGTGTTGCTACTAATAACAATTAAGTACAATTCATATCTATACAAAAACTACCTCCTAATTTGGACCAATAGCAATTGTTTAAAAGGCCTAGTGATATTAGCAATTTAGCCTTATAGTTCAAAATTATCAGAGATTTCTGTACCCTGTCCTCGGTGCTCCTATAAGATTCATTACTCTTCTAGTAAAATTGTCCAGACTACCATCTTTTTAAAGGCCTAGGTCAAGTTTTATCTGTTTCTGCATCTTCTAATATGCAAGGTAGTGCCTGGTACTCAGTAGGTCATTGTTCAATGATTGAATGAAAGGATACAAGAAGAAAGCCTTCCATTTCCAATTAAAAAATCTTGCATGTCTCTTGGCCATTGATAATTGTGAGCTCGTTATAGATACTAATTTCACCACCCCGATAATGTATCTGTATAACCTTTAAATAAATACCTTAGGCAACTCTGCTCATCATTGTCCTTGTGCCTTTAAGCAGATCATAAATATTCAGATGTTTGGCTGCTACCAATTTTTCAAATGAGTACAGAACTCTGTAGTCACGTGTCACTAAATATTATTTCATGTCTAGATCCCTATGTCTGGCAGACATCTGTCTTGTCAACAAAACAGTTCTAGGGAGTGTGTTGTGGATAACAGTTCCCTGGCCACTTCAGATAGGTGATTTGTCTCTGTAACATAGCTTCTAAATATCCTTTAAATTATAATACCATTTCCTACATTGTATTCATTGGAACACTAGCTATACCGAGAGAAAAGCTTTCTGTGTTCCAATGCATTTGAGCAATGCTGTGTAATATATCTCTTCTTGATATTGACATGTAGTAAAAAACAAAAACAAAACTCTGAGAAATCATGTTTTACAGAAGCCTATTTAAAGGTAATTAAACCAGTCTCTTTTTTTCTTTTTTTTTTTTTTTTTGAGACAGAGTCTCACTTTGTTGCCCAGGCTAGAGTGCTGTGGCATCAGCCTAGCCCACAGTAACCTCAAACTCCTGGGCTCAAGAATCCTTCTGCCTCAGCCTCCCATGTAGCTGGGACTATAGGCATGCGCCACCATACCAGGCTAATTTTTTCTATATATTTTTAGTTGGCCAATTAATTTGTTTCCATTTTTAGTAGAGACAGGGTCTCGCTCTTGTTCAGGCTGGTTTCGAACTCCTGACTTTGAGCGACCCACCCTCCTGGGCCTCTCAGAGTGCTAGGATTACAGGCGTGAGCCACCGTGCCTGGCTGGAACAAGTATTTCTTAAAACTATTTTTTTTTTTTTGGTAGCACCTATTAGTTTTGCTTAAAACTAGTGCTCTAAGGAATATACTTTGGAAAATATTTCTTTAATTTAATCTCAAAAATCTAGCTGACTAGTAGCAAGTGGGAATATATTTTTTTACCAACTATTAATTTTTATCTAAGTGCAGAATTAATACAGTTGCAGCCATGCTCCACCCTTTGGTCATGGTTTTCCGCAATTTACCATATACTGGTTTACTATATATTAATTATATTAATCCCTCACCTCTTTGGGTATTTTCTATTCTCAAGTTAGTAATGCTAAACTTTGCAACTGGGCCTAATAAGTTAGTATGTTTGCTCTTTGCATGAGACGTTGCCACTGGCACTCATCTGCGGGACTCTTCTCTGATTTGTCTCCATTCCAGTGTCTATATCTCTAAGGAGATATTCTGTGAATTAAAGGTCATTAGGGACCTGACCTGTGGCTATATATATATAGCAATATGATATATACATATATATATATATATATCGCAATATTCATTAGTTCACATGAAGATCCACTTCATTATTTAGTTATCGCTTGACAAATTAAAAAGTTTCCAGGTAGTATGGTTAATGAGAATCACTTTATGTGATTTTTGCCCAAGTTTCTTCAAAATGACTTTGAGTTATTCAAAACTACATCTGTGTTTTATTTTAGTGAACAGAATAAGTGTAATATATCTTCACTCCTCCCATGACAGTCAGTGAAATTGTGAACATCACCCAAACTAAACTGGTTATGGAGCAATTCATACTCATCTTTTTGGAACAATACGGTGAATCTGGCAGGATGATTTACCCATTTTATAGATGGAGAAACTGAGACTTAAATACAATGGGAATAAATCTAGTTCTTTTTACTTATGATTCAGCACAGTTTTCATTCTACTTCATTATCTTTGAAGGTAAGTAAATAAGATCCTAAGACTTTCTTTCTGATCATTACCATTTAATATAGATATTAGCTTATTTTAATGAGCTTTAGTAATTGAATGTTTAAGAAATATAGAATAATATGCCATCGATTGATATTTTTTATTGTTATTTATTTTCCATACATATGTTTTAGCTTCATTCTTTACTCGGAACACCTAATTTTCTTCTAGGGGAGTTACTTCATATACTTAGTAACTTACTTTTATGCTGCTTTTCTGAATACAGCCAATAGAGATTTTATGGTATAAATGAGATCAGTTCAGTTCAGTGTGCTATGTATGTGTATGTGTGTGTATCTTTTAATTTAAAAAATCTTCCTGGTTGCTTTTCTTTTGTCATGGAAACACTAATAGAGCTTGAGAAAGTTGTTTGATAATTAAGAACAGAATTACTTTAAATAAGTCAATCATCCACAGTTTCATTTGCTTAAGACTATTATCTCTGGATAAATTTTTGCAGTGAAGTTCTTCTGTGGTAGACAGATATTTTTTAGGGTAAAGCCTCAAGGAGTGACAGTTTTGTAAAATTAGGAACAAGTATTTATAGGAAATGGCTACAGCTATGTGTAAGCTTAGCTCTCAGCTTTCGGTAACTGGTGGCAAATAACTCTCAACTGTCTTTGCAAGCACACTGTTTGATTATTTTAAGAGTACAAACTACAGTTGGACTTAATAATACAGGCAGAACAAGCATTGGTTAGATCTGGGTGCCTCAGAGACTGCTCTCATTTTATCCAGCCAATAAATGGCAGAGGACTAAGAGAATTACCTATGATACTAATTCTGCTCTTTTAACTGATAAATTATCATAGGCTACTTATTAAAACCACAAAAAGAATATATATATATATATCCGTTAAGCTAATTTATTTTATTAGCATCTCTGAAAAGCTAGAAAATACCTGTCATAATTTTTTCATGAACACAAATTACTTTTTTTGTGCTTTCTTGGTACAGGGGCTAATGGGAACTGCATTACAATGAAATGATATAGATAAAATGGGTTCATCTGTCCCCATCGGTAGCAGTTTAAAGGTATAGCATTAATGAATAAATACGCATATGTACTTTTTGGTAAACAGCTTAATGATTTTTATGTATTCTGAAATCGCTGGATTTTCACATGTGAGTGCGTAGGAGCACTGAATGGCCATTTTCAAACCCACAGAATAAATTCCAGACTCCATCACTTGTTCCAAGAAGTCTAGACACTGCATCACCAAGATAGTTACATGAAGAAAAAAAAAAATGTGAGATTGGAAAGGAATTGTGTTTTTGCCTATTTAAATTGGAACAAACTCCTTCTGTTACTGTGGAATCATTGATTATTTCTGAGGAAACAAAGAAAGAAAATCCCAAATTATTAGTTCTGGATTACTTCTTTTTTCCCCCACCAAATAAAAACAAAATAAAAATGTTTTATGAATTTCCTGTG